AAGGTAGAAGTGTTATATTTGTATTTTGTTAACCAATTAATTGTGATCTGAGATTTATCCATGCATCGTTGGACACGATAACATGGTTATTTAAACTCACTTACAATACATTCTAATTAAGAAAAGGCTTTAATTTTGAAAAGAAAGAATTAGAAGTTATAGATACAATGGATAAGCGTAGATTCATGAAAAACAAACCATTCGCCCTCCGGGCTCATGGTTACTTTTTCAAGAACCCACGCTTATCCATTGTATCTATATAACATAGACGTTTGTCACAAATTTAGGATTAAGTGTAGAAAAATGATTCAAATACAGAACTTTATTTATATGTTGTAATTTCTACTTAGCAGCTGGTAGTATCATTCTTAAAGTAAAGGAATGTTCTTCAAATGTTTCCTTTTTTGATGAATATAATTTAAATAAATTGAAAAAAAGGTTATGTTTAAACTGCTGTTTACTTTATTCGTTTTCTCTGGTACTTACACATGCTACAGGTTTGGACACATATTAATTCTCTTATATTGTTTTAAACTAAACTTGAACAGTAATGTTACTTTTTCTACACTTAACTTTCTATAGACACAGGCATGTTGAAAGATCATGTTTCCTCCACTGTTGACGACGTTGTTGTATGAACTTTTCTCCAAGTGAAACTTCCGATGTAAGAATAGATTTAGGACATTATTTCATATGTGTTAATCAAAAGTTGTTAGTTTGTTTTCAGTAACTGCTTACATACACTCTTTAATGTAGAATCTTTTTAAAATGGCATATGTTGACTGTCATACCTGCATTATTATAATGGTATCGAGAATTGTTTTCAGCTGATAGTTGTTGTAAATTTGTCTGCGTTACTGTTTTTAATCAAATTAGCCGAGTTTAGAAATTGGAAGGGAGGTTGTAAAAATTCAATTGAAATTCTGTCGCATTTCATGTGCCTGTCCTAAGTCAAAAACATTGTCAGTGGTGCTCTTGTGTTTTACCTTAATGTTGCATGTTTATGATGGTGTTAATTGCAGTTCATTTATAGTGTCCTTTAATCTAACCTAATAAGGTTTACGTGATTTTGGGGGACTTTTAGATTAAACCTTGCTAAATTGTATGAAAACATATATTTGATATCCCCGTGGCTCAATACATTGTTCGATCTCGATGGTCTCTTCTTAGTATGAATAATTCGAATACTGGAAATTAAGAGATCCGTTTCTATTCTGATACTGTAGAAATGAACATTCTGATCGCCAAGCACGTGGCATATTGGAATATGTCATGCCTTCTTAAGATACATGTAGGTCAAAGTTACATTGAGGTTTTTAAAACAAACTATCAATATTTATTATAAAGATATGTACAATCTGATAAATTGGAAACGTTTTGACTCCATTCATGAAATTGGTTGCAATTAGTAATGAAACGTATTTGATGTTTAATGTCAACAAAACATTGGATATGCGAAAAAACTAAAAACTTTGAATTACAAAAAAAGGACACATGTTCTTATTATTATACTAATTATTGTGTTTCTAGGTTATCATCAGCTCAGTAGCAGTAATTTTAATATGAAATGTTTAGGACGATAAGGTTTCAACGTCCAAAGGCAATGTTCACCTTGAATACATTTTGCTATGCTTTTTTTTGTCGTTTTTTGTTATATAGTTCAAAACGTCTCTACGTATGTATACGTCTCTTAGGTAAATATTTCAAATGTATAGGTTTGAGAGTTTCTGATGAAACGTATATCAAGAAAAGCGCGTAGAACGCACGATATTAGAAACAAAATTTTATAATTTTTTTTTCAAATGCAGTAGAACTTGACTGAACGCTGTCCTTTCCAAGTGCGCACAAGGATCAATCAATATCCCACAATACCTGATACACCTTAAACTACCAACAAACTATCTGACAACATGATACAAACACGATGTTCAGTCAATACCATCATATTTGTACTGTAAAATTCCTCAGTTAGAAGCTTATGTTATACAAAATCGTTAAAACTATTGATTGAAGAGTTTGACTTAATATAATAAGAATATAGATATGTTCAATATTGAAAATCGGCAAAAGTATATGTCCGAGGCGTTCTGAAAACAAAACAACATACTTACACTCTACCTAATTTTTCGACTTTCAATGCATTTGCCATGAGTGATGAAACATGTTTAACATTTGATTTATTAGTAGTTTAATTTGTTTTTTTTTCTGGCAAATGGGAGACTACTCAAATAAAAAAACATGTTTCATTGTCAATTACAAGTGCAATTTGCCTGTTTAGCTCCGGATCTTGTGTAATGCTAAACATATATCGGTTTGATTTGAAAAGAATCTTGGAAATGTCGACTGTGTGAAAGAAAAATTGACTGAATCGAAAGAAAGAGGGAAGAATAATTTAACTGAATTTTTTACAAAAAAAGAAGGAAAGGTAAACTGAAGTGATTGGAGAGCACAAAATATAATAGATAATATAAAAAAAGCAGGATACTATGCTGAAATATTTATCTCAGCTAAGTTTTTTAGTAATTCTTTCAGTCTAATAAGAATTGTATTTTTAGATTGTTCGTGTATTTCTATTTCTCTAATTCTTACACGATATATTATTTTCATGACCTGCTGATTATTTTTATTTAATCAACGCGTGGCTAGTTTGATCTCTGTTCTTCATTGGACAAAATTCATTTATGACGTCAAATTTACTTGCTTTCTTCTGAATTTCTTATTCTGAAATCATGAAAAAGGCGACCATCCCTGATTACGTCACATAGAAAGAACACATTTGTTTGTAGATCATTTAAAATTTATACGATATATTTGGATTACAGTTTGATTCAGAAGAAACACCGACAAACAGCAAAAGCTCCTGCACGAGCTAGTCTGAAAGTTTTGACATAAATATGTGGTAGGAAGAACATTTTCAAAATTACTGCCCTTGTCAGATTTTCTCTGTCTATAGCATTTTAAAAGATAATAGACAAAACTAATGGCCTTAAATTTATAAAGATAACAAAAAAAGTAAACGGTCATCATACTTATTGAACCTCATTTCTGATTATTATAATAGAAATACTTTAGTTAACTGTGTACGTAGGATTTTGGGCAGTGTTAGAATGTGGTGCAAATTCCGAAAAGGCTATTATTACCCCTATGGGCCAGGAAATACTACCGTGCCATTTTAACAGGTAAATATATGATGAAAATTAAATTAATTTACGTATTTTTTACTTAATCAATTTGTAAATGATTTGTAAATCAATACAAAGTTGATTTAGAACAACTAGAATAACAGTCCCCTCATTCCACCACTAGGAGTGAAAATTGCGTATTCAGCTAACTTTGCCTGATCTGTGGATGATAATGTCAACTTTGACTTAGCAAGTAGAGCGAGAAAGCCAAAAATATGAACTTCAGTAAAAGACGAAAACACAAATCCTAGACAGCACCAGAAATCATTCACTTAATACCATGCACATCAAGAATGAGGCAGGATTAAACATGTTTGCAAGCACGCAACACTGTCTCTGACCTTAGATAGTGATGTAATAGCAAGTATAAGATAGAAACAACCAGTAAAAGCTTGCAAATCTTAATTTTAAAGAGTACTCGTTCAGTAACAGAACTTTAATTCATAGTACATTAAACGTGCATGTGTGGTTACAGTTTATACAAGAAAATGTATTACTGTTGTTTTGTTGTTACTTGTGTATTTGTTTTCTTTTATCATTGATAGTTCACAATAAAGCGTTTTCCAAGTGTTTACCTTGATCTGTATTTTCTTCAATGCATACATATATGTACATTTCTGTACAAAGCATCAACCGACAACCACTTTTTTACGGGCTCCAGACTTGGTGCAAACACACACAGAATGATGTTTGCTGACGCAAAACCCTTCCCCCTAACCTACGACGGTAGTGTAATATTTCAACATAAAATAAGAATATAAAAGTCATTCGCAAAGGACTGAACTGAACAATTTGATACAAAGCCGAAATAGAATTTACAAGTTTGACCGGACGTGGCAATGCTTTTATACACCCCGCCACCAAAAATGACACAAAGGACGGATTTCAGAGTACTCGTAGTTATCAAGCATTACACTAGCTAGGTTTAACTACACTGGATTGTAAAATTCAACTATCGTTTTATCATAAACAAAACATTATTTGCTTTATAATAGATACAAGACAACGTTCAGTTTATTCATTATGAATTTCATATTCTTTCTACTTACAAAATAACGTTGTCTGTATTAAAGTATGAGTTAAGAGCAACTTAATGAGTACTTCTCTTGTGATTTCAAATTTTGAAATCGTCAGAACGAAAACATGTCACACTTCAAAACATATTAGTGAACTAAAAAAAAAAACAACATTCAAGACTAACAAAGGCCAAAGGCTCCTGGCTGCAAAAATGTCACTTTTTTAAAATTTACCTAGGTTAGAGAATAATTTAAACATATGTTGGATTTTATATTATATAATTTATACCTGTATAAACGATGACATCTTTCGGTTGGGCTTTACAGACCACACTTCACAATGTCTGTTATTGACAAGATTACTTCACGTGGAAACCTTTACTATTCTATCAATTTCCTGTCTCTTTAAAAAATTATTGGCTCTTGATCTCTTTTTTACTTTTCTTTCCACCTCTATCAGTTACCTCCGTAAACAACCATAGACGCATCCATTTTATAAAACGATAAAAATCAGACGATTAGATACACAATCAACGTCAGATCTAAGATTATCGTACGGCTTTTTGTGAAACGATGTCCATTTGAGACTTGAGCGAATCTATTTTGTTAGATCATATCTTAAAAAACTTAGCAGGAGAAAAATATACGATAAAATTAAGTTGAAAAACATATAAGAATTGAAATGCTAACCGGCATTAACATAAAAAAAAATAAAAAAAATGCCAACAGAAAGACAAATGTTTCAAATAGAACCGCTCACTTTACTAACAAAGACATTACTATGACCACTGCTATAGGAGGTCTATTACAAAATTAACACATCAAGGTCTTAGGTGTTGTTGTACTTTACGGACCAAAATTGTTCAAACAAACATGATATATACCAAACATTGTTTTAAACTATTGAATGATAAATTGTGGTTTGTGGTTCATATTTGTTTGTTAGGTATTGCATGTAAAGTAATGTATCTATAGAAATGTTTGTCATTAAGATGTATCACGAACACAACATGAACAGACGCTAAAGATAGAAGTACAGATACAATCATTACATCGGTGTAAGACAATATTTCAGTGTGAATGATATATATATCATCAAAATACTTGTTTCAACACGGAAACAGATATTTATCTCAACATGGTATTTACAAGAACAAAGAATCTAAATTCAAACCAAACAATGGGTCAGTTCTGATTTGTATGACGCATATAAGGTGAAACATATAGTAGTCAATAAATGTAGTTTCTGAGAACCATTCATAGTTGGTGGTTGGTATTACTAACACCACAGAGTAAAACACATATCTTTACCAGTATGGGACTTGTATGGAGCTTTCTGCAGTTGGTCTATACAACTGTGGCCAATGCTACAGTAAGTATTATACATTTCTTTATTTGTGGGGCAGAAGTTTATTCATTTTTATCATATACTTGTAGAAAAGAATAGTATAATTGTACCCCTTGATAAAACTAATTTGTAAATATATTTATTCATTAAATTTGAAGAATTGTCTAAGCCGTATGATATGACTTTCGTTATCAACTGCTTCCGGTATATATCAACTGTTTTCGGTTTATATCAACTGCTTCCGGTTATTATCGCACGCCTTTCTTTAGCGTTAATAATTAGTTCATTTCGACGTCATTCTGCAAGTTCCGGAATATAAACCTCAGTGGTACATTTTAGTAAAAAAAACATAACAAAGTAGAATAAAAAAAAAAAAAATATTAGGAAACAGGAAAATATATTATTAAAAAATGCAAAACAAATAATACAATAAATGAATTTTATAAAGTATTAAAAGTTCTTGTCTGTATGTCTTCTGCTGAAGTATATGATAAAAAGAACATAACATGTCATTTTTCATATCAGACCCCTTATCAGCCCATGGTCAAAATCATCCCTCGAGCCCATCGGCTCTCGGGCTGATATATAACCTAGGGTTGATAAGGGTCTGATATGAAAAATGCCATGCTATAATCTATATATAATGTATGATCTAAAATAAAGTTGATATGATATTTAAGTGTCGAACGTTTGATTGGTTAGAGGCACATTTAACTCATCAACACATTTATTTTCCATAAATGTTTATGTAACAGGAAAATTTTGAAAGAAAATCAAAATAATCAGGAACTGTAATGCACTTGAATTTCAAAACCACAACTCTATAGCTGCATGAGACCAACAGGGCCCCGTACTAAAGATATATACTAGACTAAGTATACTGTCAGTGAACACACCTTTGATAGTGACAAAGACAGTTATTTTATACTGTCTTCGATAGTTCCGAAAGTCCAAACAAAGTAGAGTAATCTTATTCTAACCTATTTTGTAGACAAATAACAAAAATGTTAATTTTGAAAGTTACAGAGAAATGAAATTTTGTCACTTCACAAACAAAGGAACCAAGAAAGGTCTACTACAAAAAACACGTTTAACCATATTAAATTTCTCATATTTACTGATTCATGTTAATACATGTCTAAGTGTAAAGCAACTTTAATGAAAAAAAAACAGTAATCATCATTCAAGGTGAAAGAGTGATCATTTGGATTTATTTTAGGAGTTAGTGGCATCGAAGTTATCTCGGATCCGAGGAATGTTTTATATTTTCAAATTAAAATCTAATATTTTCTTCAAGGCATTCAGTTCTAGATTTGTTTTACCTAGTTTTTGACCTTTTGTACGAGTTTTTGATTTTTGTGGTATCGAGGGAGGATTTCGGAATATTTTCAATCCCTGAAATCTGTACAGTGAATTTGTGAACTAATTCTTGAAATAATCTGTGATTATGTAAAATCACTTGTCATTTACGGATTATAAATAATAACGTAAATGATCTTAATTATTATGCTAATGATCTTAGTTATTATGTGGAATCCCCAAAAAATCAGATACTAGTATTGTACATAATCCTTGATTATACAAATTTACTGTTACACTATGAGACAGCATGTTTATAAGTAGTGACATCCACTAAGTAGCTATATAACTATTGGAAGATCAGGCTTTCAATACGGTACTCTTTTCAAAATAAGCCATAACAATAGAATGTAATTGCCTGATAAAAATCTGATCTAATGATAACCTGTATGATTTAATTCATGCAGTTATTCGTGCATTTAAACAACGTGATATTTGGTCATAAATTACTTAACCGATTTAAAATATTGTGTGAAATCTCCATAAGTTTAGACTCCGATTTGTTGATAATATAAATCAAATCGCGATAACCAATTTCAAATGGGAATCATAGTTTCAGAATAAAAAAATAAATAGTGTTCGTTTAAGGTATTTTCATATTTAAAAAAAAAATAAATGTTGCTATCAATCATGATTAATTTCAATTAGACGACCTAGTCATATTAAACGTCAGAGTATTCATACATTTAAGCGATTAAACTTCAGACGTCCACATGCGGGTCAGGACTACCGTTATTTTAAATCTAATTATTTGGCTTTGAAACACTTGGCAAATGAACAACATCAGTTTAAAGTACATAAAAGATTTATAATTCCTGGAAATCATTCGCTCCTTTCATGCTTAACTCTATATTATTAAGTGTTTTATGTTTCGGTTTGTATTAAGACAATCTTCACTCGCATTTAAGGTGTAACATTTTTGATAATCATTTATATGGTCGAAGCTGGCAGTATATATCAGATTATACAAATTACATATTTATCTCTATGGGATATTTATGGAACTCAGATCCTTTGAATATGTGGATTGTATTTGATTGCAAAGGGACAATTCTACAATTGGCCCATACACTAATGGACAATGCTACAGTAAGTATTAGACATTTTTTATTTGGTGTTTAAACGCTCATATATTCATATTGTATGATTTCCAAATGATTTAGTATAAAGTAATTAGATTTGTTAGGTTCAAAACACCTAAAATTTTAAAGGGGCATTTAAATCATCAACAAAATTATTTGACAATAGTATATATGAAAGTAAAACTTCGAAACAATTATTATATAGGTGTTTATATGACATCCTGACAGCACACATGTCGAATGCCCCAATAGAGAACATGTTTACCAATAATTGCATCAATTTAGTGGTTATAAAACTCATCAACTATATGAGGATTTCAATTTTGAAATTAGAACTATATAAAACCTGTAAGATTTAGTAAATGCATTCCATTTGAAAGTTCATGTTCTGTAAAACACGAAATATGGGCCATATCCTAACTTTGAAAACAAACATGCGTTTGACGTTGAAAAAATTAAATCTGGTATTTTTGATTATTTTTGGTACTATATTTAAAACATAATTTACCTCACAATGAACATGTGTACAATGCTTCGTGTCGATGTGACAACAAATTATGTTAATTCAATACGTTATACGGGAGGGACGGACTCACAAATCGGATAATACAATTACCTTTTCCTATCATAGGTGACCTAAAAACAAGTAAACACGAGTAAATTTTTTTATTAATCACACTAAATGTTACTGACAGAATTATTTGTCAAACCTGTCAAATGGATTCAGTCTTCAGGATCAAAAACAATCCTATTTCCGATATCAGTGTGTTGCTTTTAAACACAAAAATTATCATTAATTCGCATGTTATCCAACAAACTGAATTTCATTAGATATCATTCATAACAAAGTATCAAATAATTTAAAATTGCCAACAAATGGATGATGTCACAAAACGTTAAATGCTGAAAACGTCATGAATGTGGAATGATATGTGAGATCAAGTGTATTTAATTGTGTAATACAAAATATTCTTAGTGTTGTCAAGAAAGATTTCCATACAGTAATTCCAATTATTGATACTCACATCGCCGTGACATAATGGTCCGAGTACACAGTTATTTCGTAGTGCATTTCTTTTAGACAATAAATGAAAATAAATAAAATCCCACCTGCGCTTTCTAAATAATATTTTTACAGTGTGTTGTACTACTTTTGGGACAAATTATATCAAAATTATAGAAAACTTCATCGGCTCTAACTCAAAATATGGACAATTCTATGTTAAGGGGGTCTTGAAATCTTTTGACAGCTTCCGAAGTGCTAATTTTTAACCTTTTGCAGCTGGACCAAATCACTACTTTACTTTACAATTCATGACCCAAATTTTTTTACTGTGTAATTTCATCCCCCTACTTGCTATTTGAGGCATAAAACATGAAGAAATACATTTGGAAGGGGTACTAAAAAAATTGGCAAGCAACACACTGTCCACACTAGTGACTTTATTCGTGGACAACGAACATCAAAGGACGATAACTGTGTACTCGGACCTAATGATGGTCGCACACACATACACGCCAACATAACATAAACTAAGTTCCACACAGCAGTTTGAAATGGTTCATGGTTTACCTTTAAACGACTTTTAGTGCTTGATGTCTTTGGTTAGCATGTTGTTTGTTCTTTGCCATATGTAATTTGGTTTAACTTTTGCAGGAATAAAATATTATTTAAACATTGTCATTATATCATGAAACATAGGTGATTTTTCATGTCAACATGTTAAAGAAATGGTGTTATTGAAAGAGAAATACATATATAATATTATTGTATAAAATTATTAGTGCATCGCTTAATATTTAGACTTGTGAACTTCAAAATATGATACAATTTGAAAACACATGACATTGCATGGCAAAATTTTATCAACAGGGAGATTATTTAGTAATTTTACATAAATTTGTAAAATATGTCATTGGACAAATGCCAGATACTCTAAGCCAAATCTATATAATGCAACGAAAAGATCTAATCTTAAAACAAAAGCGTACGGCTGTCTCAGCAACTTAGCGTGCATGGTCACATTATCCGAATTTTTTGAAAACAAATAGAAATAGTGTAGATGTAGGCAAACTGCGGTTTGCTTGCAAACATAATTTTAAACTAGTCAGATCGGCTGGTTAGTGCCCAGTGTCTAATCTATATTAAAGCTACTACAGAAACACTATGTTATGCACTATCCGCTCTCCTGGTTCCAAAGCATATGAATGTTAAGCATCTGAACTGTGATTCAGATAAGTAGCCAAAGATATAGTAGAAAGCCAGAGAGAGCCGATCTGCGAAACAATTAGCATAAGCCTTTGTCTGAGCTTTCTAGCCAGAAAATATTGACAAGACTTATGCTAAAGTTAGGATGTAAGTGACCACTGAATACCCCGTAAATTTGTGATTCGAGTGAAAACTCGAAATGACCCCAAAAACAGATGTTGAATATTTTGATTAGGCTGATGAGACAGCTGGACCCCAAATTGAAGGGAGTATGAAAAATAAGATTATGATAACTATAAAATTGAAGTTGCTAGCACTTCCGATGGAAGTGTTATTGGAACCAAAAACAGCAAGAATAGCATTATTAGATGTTCTTTGACTGTAAAAGAAACTGTTCTCAATATAGTCAATAATTTCATATTCATAATATTCAGTTTTCAAGTAAGAATATGTATCCAAATTCGAAATACAACTCACTAATGGTAATAACTAGTCAGACACGAAGTATAGTTTAAAAACAAAAAAGCATATAAATTTGACATATAAGTATATACACGATCATACTACGCTATCATGCTGCTCAATATAATATATTCAAATCATATAGGGAATAGTATACCATCTTTAGTTGAGTAACATATTATATAACTACTAATTGTCAAGCCCCAATGATGAGTATATTCAAACTCATAGAAAGGGGATTATTGTGCCCCGTCAAAAAGCATTGCAGACATGTGGATTCTTATGCACAAGTGACACTAATGAAGACACTGATTCCAATGATGGTGTTATTTCCAATTAATAAAGCAACACACTGCAGTCGACGGGGATTATTATGCCCCTGTTAATCAAATTGAAATTTCATTGAAAGGAATCGTAGTCTTACATGTATTTGACAAGAAAACACTCATTCTGAACAGTGAATTATTGTGCCACTGTAGAATCGCGCACATATTTTCCATGAACTCTTACAAAGAAAACTGTTGAATAGTAAAACTGGACTAATCGGATATCAAGGCTAGCTGGGCTTGTTTAATGGTTGATTTTGGAGTATGAATATATCTGGTATAGCATTCGGAACTCCAACGACCTAAAATCTTGATCAGGTGATCTTCAATTTTTGATGCAACTGATGTTGCCGCTCCTATTCGGAAGCTGTGTCCGTTGTAATTAGATGGGTTGAGTCCGATAATTTCCAGGATGGATCGAACATGATTGATGAAAAACGTACGTGTTAGAGCCTCTCCATTTTCCATAACAAAGAGCGGACTTGAGTTGCAGGCTATGCTGAATCTAGATCTTCTAACAGCGAGGTATCTAATTAAAGATTTGACCGGGCACAAAGAGGTGTTGTTTTTGAAAAGATAAATATTTACTCCACTTCTGAAAGGGTCTGTTTTAGACGACTTTAAATGTAATATTGCGTAATCCTCCTCGAAAGTGATGTCTTCTATACATAGATTGCAAGAAGCATCGAAGTCCGTGTTGACGGTTAATTCACCGCAGCGGAGAAATCCGAAGTAAGCGACGATACAAGCTGCCTCAATAAGTGCAGTAACAAATGGCGAAACTATTCCCTTTTGAAGCACTGTTATCATATTTTTAATTATATCATAAGTTAGCGGTAATCTTTTTCGGGAACTCTTTACTTCTTGTTTCTTAATACCCCTGTAAATTGTTTCTAACCTAAGCAGTTTTGAAGAACAACAGCTACTGAATAAACACTGTACTCCGGATTGAAGATATATGTATCTTAAACCACAAATGTACATTTTTATTGTAGAACATTTTATTTTAAGATTTTCATGACAATGTGTAGCGTAATGCATTAAGATATCTTCCGTTAGAGGTGGCAAATCTGTTTTATCATCCCACTTAAAACCGGATAGACACAAAAAGTTTTTGTATGATTTAAATCCATGTTCGTATTGCGAACGCGTACTGCTTGCGATTGAGTTGTGAATTAAATGTTTAACTTTTGCATTTAATTCCACTTTACTTGCCAAGATTTCGGACACGGAGTGGGTTCTTTCTCTGCTGCTGGTGCTGCTTTTTGGAAGGTCTGAAAATCAAAGCGAGATAAAGAGTCAGCTATCACATTTTTAACTCCGGGAATATGTTGACATTGAATAGTAAAGTTTTGTTTAACGGATAGCCAAGTAAGTGTTCTCATTAATTTCATAATGTCTAGCACTTTAGATCTTCCTTTATTAACTATATTAACGACGGCTTCGTTGTCACAGTGGAACATGATACGTTTCTTATTCCATAAGTGCCCCCATAAAACAGATGCAACAACAATCGGGTACAGTATCTAAAAGCCATGTCTGAATTGAGTGAAGTTGATAGTTCAGAAGGCCAAGTACTACTAAACCATTTACCTTGGAAAAACCCTCCGAAACCAAAGTTAGAAGCCGCATCTGTGTACAATTCTATGTCACTAGCTAAAGTTATATGTTCGTCGTTAACGAAAGTAACTCTATTCCAGCCTTTTAAGAAATCTCGCCACATGATTAAGTCAGTTCTACAGTCTTTTGATAATGATATATAGTGATGTAGTTTATTAACTTTAGTAGATAACTTAATGAGATAACTGACAAACAATCTACCCGGACGAATAATTCTGGCGGCAAAATTAAAAATGTCCTAACAGTTGTAATAATTCTCTTTTCGTAACAGATTTTTTATGAAGAAAACTGTCAATAAAATTTGAAATTCTTTCTACCTTTTCATTCGGTAATCTTGCTTCAAAACTTTCAGTGTCTAGTATGATTCCTAAATACTCGATAGTACAAGTGGGACCTACAGTCTTTTTCTTAGAAATCGGAATATTTAGACGATTGCATATAAGCGTTATTAGCGCCATTGTTCTAAATCCGCAAGAGTCCGGTGGTTGAATAGTGAGAAAATCATCTAGGAGATGAAGTATAACTGGTATGCCGTAATTTTCCTTTGCTATCCAACAAATAGCCCGTGATATATTGTCAAAGATGCAAGGAGAGCTGCGAGAACCAAAACATAGTCTTACATAATGATAATAATTGTTTTTCCATTTCATGCAATATAAGTGATGCTGGTCTTTACGGATTCCTAGCTGTTTGAATGCATCGGTCATATCGGTTTTGTTTAGAATTGTTTGCTTTCCGAAATGCTTGATGGCCCTTATTGCGTCATCTATTTTTACATAAGATAGTGAATAGATCTCCTTATCTATAAGACTATTGATGCTTTCATGTGTTTCATGTTCGTGTGGAGAAGATAGATCAAGGATAAGACATTTTTTGCCAGAATATTTGCCTTCTGCAATCCCAATGGGACTAACACGGTAAGTTTCGAAAGGTGGACTACTAAACGGGCCTTTAACATATCCTTTATCTATTTCTTGTTTCAAAAGCATATCAACAGTTTCGGGGTCTCTGATGGCAGAAAGTATATTCCTACATTCAAACGTAGGTAAATCGAGCATAGATACTAGTGTTTCAAAACCGAAACGTATACCATTCAGAAGATACATAAAAAAATGTTTATCTGGATGTTCTTTAAGTTCGTATTCAAGTCTATTTACATTTATAGGTGACACATCTAGTCAGATGTTTGCCTTTGTCATTTTTTTTTTGTGAAGCTTTAGATAAGTTGGATAATTTATCTAATTTTGCATTTTCATTGTTTGACCTTGGTTGTTTTGTCTGTTGTTTGGCTAAACCACAAGTTTTCATGCCATGCACGCCTGACCCACATTGACTACATGCGTGCATGAATTTGCATTCTCTTCTATAGCAAGTGCCGTAATTGTAGTTATTGCAGAGTTCTGCTCCTGCAATATTTGAAACCGGTCTGCCCCTCTTATCTGTGTTGCGAATATGGGTAGCCCCTTGGGATAAAGTTGGGATGCCGTGTTTTGCTTTTTCACAGAATTTTGATGTGTGGTCAAATTCCCCGCAGTGAGCACATGCTCTGCTTTGAACATTATGGGTAACAAGGTTCAACAATTTGTCATCAACTTTTGACCAGTTGATAACAATGTTGTGTTCAACTATGGCAGCAGCTGCTTTAGCAGAAAACATCTTGTGATATGTATAGAAACATGGGCCGTAATTTTGTGACATTTCGTTTATATCAGCTTCATATTGTTCCAATTCAACTTTTTTCTGAATGTAAGCTTTCCCCATAATATTACGGTATTTCCGGAAAGCCCTATTAAATTCTTCTATTGAAAGATTGTGGTCCAATCTTACATCTTTCTTACTCGAAAGCTCAACTGTAAACCCCCTTGACTGCATAGTTTGGTTTTGAGGTATATCATATTTTGGTGCCAATAATGTAGCCAGGTTAATGTCCCTACCTTCTATTATCTGCTTTTTTATGGAGGGTGCAACAAAATCCATCTTTGGTAGATCTTCAGCATAGTATACTTTTCCTGTCGATGTAGCCTCGGTAGCGGAGTCTGTTAGTCGGCTATTGGAACATCTTATGGCAGATTCTATTGTAGGTGTGGTTGATTCTTTTTCAGTAACATTTTCTGTATTTGATTGTTTTAACATCAGTTTAGCGATATTTGATAGAGTTTCTGTTGCTGAGGTAAAGGCTGCGGCAGATTCCCTAAAGAGTACCTCACTGTTTAGATTAAGTGCGATATCTGGCGTATGAATACGCGTATCATTTACGATAGGAAACGTTGACGGGTGATATAATCCTAGATCATTCGTATTTATAGAGTTTTGCAACTCATTAACGGGAGGCTGACTGGATGTTTCAGGAATTGTTATAGACGTAGTTTTTGGTTTATTAGCCAAATATAATTGACGAAGCATTTCTACCTTCCACGTTGCATTGACCCCGATACCCATCTCTTTTAGTTTTTCCAGATAAGTTTCTTTTGACCAATTTCTATTGTTTTCACTGTTTTGCCTACGTGGCCTCTTTCTACCTCTCATATTGATTTAGTTAAAGTACTTACGTACGAATAATAGAAATATATGTGTAGAAATTTATCCTCTGTATCACGTTATAGATAACTATCTCAGGTTTCGAAAGTTCATCAATAGTTCATGAAATGTGTGGGTAAAACTGTTTGAAACTAAAACAACACATTAATGTTAAGATAAATCCTTATTGATAAGGTATGTCACTTTAGAATCGGATTCTATATCAGCACCCACTTGGTATAGACGAATTAGTTGATTAATTGTGTTAATAATATTAACAACAAAGAATGGCGATGCCTTCAACGTAAACAATGTGAATTTATTAATAGTTCTCACGTGCTAAAAATAATTGAAAGAAGATAAAGCAATGGGGAACGGAAAGGGGCAAATTGTCTTTTGTATAAACCTGAATTATATACATAATTCTCATATAATACGCTATGTGTAATTGTATGCAGTAAGGAAATCCGGCATATTTATCGAATTTGTATGAAGTAGGAACGTAGATCAAACACCACATATAAGATATATCATACGTCTTAGAACTAGAAAAGTTAAATGATGGCTAAATTTCAAAAAACTATTTATGATATTTAAAAACGCGTGTTCTTAATTGTAAATTGCGTCATGTCGTAACTGAAAAAAATGATCGAAAAAATACGGAAGTATTAAATATAGGCATATGATATTTCTACAACGGAATGATTGAAATTTGCTTTAAGTTGATATAAATTATTATCAATAAAAAGTAGATAACTAGGGTCTTTCGATTGTACCTCTTACTTTACGACATTGAATTTTTTTTTATAGGTACACGTGAGCTATGCCAAATCTTATATTAAGCTTTCGAAAGTTTTCCCGCGGTGTACATTTGATCAAAGACCATTCCCTCCATCTTCAGCCAATGAGAAAACAAAAAGAATATAATAATATAATAAAACTTCATACTGGAACAATGTCCATTAATGTTGTGTCTTGTCTTGCGTGGGAAGATATTTGACCGTTGAAAAGGTCAACAGGAAATGAACTAGGCATTTGTTTGATAGTTTAATTCAAGAGTACTTGGAATGAGATTAATGTAATCTATCTTATGAATCTGAAAGTGCCAATTTGTAATCGACAGCAATACATTATATCCCTTATTTCAATGAAAACAATTCTTTTTTTGGAATCAATGTTAGATAAGCTATTATTTATTACCGGGGGAGAAACTTACAGTAAACCAGAAGTCACGTTATGTTTTAATACTTCGTAAAAAAAGTACAGTTAATCAAGAAATCAGTGTCTGTTAGGCAATCATCTGACACTAAAAATGTTTATTAAACTGGTTGTTTTTCATCTACAGTTTCTTATCAAAATTGAATTTGAAAAAGACGTAAGCATTCTTTTAAAGCAGTCCCTTTCTTTATGTGTTGTTCAAATATTTAAAACAGCTTTGTTTTTAGATGGGCATCGTCTATGCTTGTATTACCAACAAACGTTAAAGATCAGCTACAAAAAAATACTGCGTTTGTTTACTTACTTGCAATATTTGTAATTCTTTATGTCTTCATTCGAAAACAGACATTTATCTAAAAATTATCCGTATCAAAGCAAACACCCGGCATGTTATACTTCTTCTCAGCAACAGGTATTATCACGGATTTTAAATGCATGTTGCAACATTTTTTTATATTATATCTTACAGGACATGTTATAAGGCGTCATTAATACACACATACACCTTTTTATTCTACACAAAAATGATACTCTGTTCATTAGACTACTTTTACCAAATGCAAAAAGAAAGAACACTTACATTTTGATTAAATTGAGAAACGTATTAGTCTATTCCTAAATGTGTCGATTCGGTTTTACAAAATGCGTTCGTTAATTTGTACTTCAGTCCCTTTTCATACAAGGAGACATGTTGTAAAACTGATGATGATTCAAGAACCTGTACAATTACCATTACATAACGGCATGTGTAGCTTTTATTTTATATGAAACCTTAATGAAGACCGCATTATTTTTTTTTTTTGTATAAAAGAAATACCATTCATGACGATGAGATCTTGTAACATTAAAACACCAATGATGGTGTATATTAGATTTAACATTGTTGATAAGAAGATTTATCTAATCGCATGAAACACTTAGCAATCGGGATGAATTTTATTCGTGATGGTTAATTGAAAACACAAATTTTCTGCTATCCCATGGAGGAATGTTTTGAAACTGCATATAATTGGTTGAGACAAAGCGATCTGAGATTAAAGGCCTCACAGATTTAATAATCTTTCATAATTCTAAAATCTTCCGCGAACAATAAGCAATGTAATGCATAGATAAAAGCTTTATAGTTGATTGACTAAAATGATGTTACGTATAGGAGCTTCTAGTTTATATAACTCTATGCTATGAAGGTGTTAATCTTTCCACTGTTTATAACAATTGCAGGTATTATCATGCATTGGGGTATTGTCTGTGATAACGTACCAAAATTATTCTTACAAAAAAAAACTACAGGAAACATTGGCTGAATCAAACAGAAAACAAGAGGAAACCGTAACCGAATTGATGCAAAAAGAGAAAAACAAGTTAACTAAATGGATAGAAAAAGAGACGAAAACAAGTACTGAACTTAGAAGAAAACTGGTAGATGAATTTGAAAGAAAACAAGAAGAAACTCTGACTCAACTGAAAAGAAAACAAGAGGACACGATAGCTGATATAAAAAGAAAACATGAGGAAACGATGGCTGATTTAAAAAGAAAACAAGAGGACTTGATTTCTGCTTCGATAAAAAAACAAATCGATGCAGTAATCAAAAACCAAGAGGAAACTTTGACTGATTTTACAAAGAAAGGGAACGAGTTAAATGAATTAGTTAGAACATATAAGCAACATTTAGATCAATTAATGGAAGGGCAACATAATTTAAACAAAGATTTACAAAAGGAAAAGGAAAATTTGATTGATTTGAAAAGAAAACAAGAAGAACAATCGAAAATAACACAAGACTTAGCTGAATTTAAAAAAAGTCAGGAGAATACGTTGGCTGAAATCGAAACAAAACAAGATGGACAAGAGAAAAGGCTAGCTATATTAGAAAGAAAACAAGAAAAACTTTATGCTGATAAATCTAAAAAGAGTAAACAAGAGATAGCGGAGGCGGATTTGAGAAAAAAACACTTAGAAGAATTGAAAACGAAAGAAGAAGGAGAGGATGCAAATGAATAGACAGAAAACGTGAAAAATAAGTAAACTCAATTCATTAAAAAGCAGAAAAGATTTAAATGGATATATAAAAAAACATGGAAACGTTGCAGAAAATGTTTGATGCATCTCAACTTTAAACAAGGTACTTTTAGTCATATAAAAACTTATTTTAAAGATATTTGTTTTAATAATTTGTCTTAATTTGTACGCCTATTTCTTTTAGAATACCTATTTGTTTTCAGTATACGTATTTTTTAGTATACGTATTTATTTAGTATACTTATTTCTACAGCATGCTTATTTCTTTGAGGATACTTATGTCTTTGACGAAATAACATGTTAATTTCATGATTTTTTTTTTTGCATCTTGTTAGAATTGCCTTTAATATATTATACACGTATTCATGTAGAGGGGTATTTGTTGGTGAAGGAAGGGACACACAATTTTATTCATTCAAACAATTATTGTTTTTGTTGCTTAACTTAAAACAATTGATCACGATATGTGTTTATGACATGTTGTTGTAAAAGTCCAATCTAGAATTTGAAAAATATTATGGAAATTATTTAATGCATATAAACATTGATCAAGGAGAAGATTACAATGCTTAAAATAGAGAATTGAAATGGGGAATGTGTCAAGGAGACAACAACTCGACCAAAGAGTAAAAAAACAGCCGAAGGCAACTAATGGGTCTTCAATACAGCGAGAAAATCCCGCACCCGGAAGCGGACTTCAGCTAGATCCTAAACAAAAATGTGTACTATTTCAGTGAAAATGAACTACATACTTAACTACTAAATATATAAATGAACTAATATATCTATAAAAAAACATATAAGACTTACAAAGGCCAGAGGCTCCTGAATTGGGACAGGCGCAAAAAAAAAAAAAATAATGAGATCTCCACCCTTCCCCTATACCTCTAACCAATGTAGATTAACAAACACACAGCAATACGCACAGTAAAACTAAGCTTAAAAGAAGTCCTAGTCCGATGTCAGAAAGGGTAAAAAAAAAGAAGCAAAATGACGATGATACATATATTAATAAAGGACTACTAGCAGTATACTTAAATAGTAAATATAGAGTATATGTACATATCAATGGCACAGAAACTTAAAACCCAGACAAACAACACAAGACAAGCACATGTAAAACTAAAGTCTTCACCAATATACATGCGTATCACTATCAATAAGTGATATGTAAAACTCAGGTTAGATATGATGTAATTGCAAAAATTCAAAATACACCCCAACCGGTTTTAACAAAATAAAAAACCTAATCAAAAACTATTCTATCTAAGACGGTCGAACGTATGCTTCAAAGAAATGATCACTAAACAATCCCGAAAATTATATGTATATTCAGAATGATAACAATAAGCTAATACTTAAACACATACGCGACTCTGTGGGTTCGTGACTGAATTAAAGTAATTACACCCTGTTTTTAGCCTTGGTATTTGGTATTGGTATTTTCATCTGATAAAGCCATGCTGATTATAGGGTGCACAGTGTTCTATATTTATTATCTTCCAGTGTGAACACATCCTGGATTTCTTACTACAACCAGAAACTACATGTTATATATATTTTTGGTAACGATATCGGATTCCATCCGGAACTTGTTAATACTTGGTAATATTAATTATGTGGAAAACGAAAATGTTTGGAATGTACAACTCTTTATCAACACCATTGTCCTATATAATATATATATAGTTGAATTCTTTTATTCGTCATTGTTACATCATGCAGGCTTACAAATTGGACCTCGTTATTTTAATAATATAGTAAAGATGGCAAGAACACTACTTTGTCAGAGAGTGAACCAATTTTTACTTTATTAAAACTGTATCATTTTTACTCTTGTTTTTGAAAATATACAACCTCTTTTTGATAAATGTTCAGGTAATATTGCGTTGACGTGCTGTGTTAATCCCTCGAGGTTTATTTATGTGAATGAATTTCACGATCTGCAATACTAAATTTTGATTTCTGACTTAAAACATCAAGATGATGAAAAAAGGATATATGAACATTGAACGTTTGATATCTTCATTAAGTTAAATAATTCATAACCCTAGAAAAGCGTACCTCATGCAGCATGTAGAACTGATTTCCTGTGCCTGGTAAATTTATGTAAGAACAATAATCATAAAGCTTATAAAAAGAAGCAGTTTAAAACAGAGTCAGGAATTCGAATTTGGATTACGATCTCTTAGTTATTTTGTGAAGAAAAAAAATCTTGCCCTTTATTATAACTGTAACACGCGATAGTTTTTCAAGATAGCCTGTTATCCCAAATTGACAAAGGATGTTGACCCCAACAATACATCTTTTTATGTAAAATGTACACTTAAAACTCAAATAAAACAATTTTTTATGACTTTCCTCCCAGCAAATCATGTATAACAGTATAACAGTATATTATCGGGTTACACGGGCATTTTATTTGCATGATGTCACGCGTGTAATCAGTTGGCTTAAAAAATCAAAACAATAGAGAATCTTTTATTTTTCATTTTATTTCATTCCCCGTAACAATTGAAAATGGTTTCAATTTTTATTCATATATTTTCCCTTTTGTTTTCATTTTCACACCTTATATTTACGATTGTCTTATTTCTTTTTCTTGTTTTATTTTTATACGTCGTAGAATTGTTTAAAATCGTTAATGTGTTATTTATATTTTCGCTGTTATTTGTCTTCTTTGTTTGATTTTGTTTGTTTGTACATATGTTGTTTTTTTTCTTTGAGTGGAGAGGTATATATGTATGTAAAGGCCTAAGAGTCTGAAAAGAGAGGAAATCTCCTCAAATTTCAACAGTGTGGTCAGGGCAAACCAACAGTTAATTTTGATCTCGCCCCTACCCCCTCATTTTTGGGGATTTTTGTTATGTTTATGAAACAGAATATAAACTAACTTCTAGACTATTACACAAAAGTAAAATAGAAAAAAAAGATTGTGTTGTTGTTGTCATTTTAAAAAAGGAAAGCTACCTATGTGACATTTAAGCTCATCAGTTAAAAATAAAACAAAAACAAGTGAAGACTGAGCAACGCGAATCAAAAACAAGGGGTGATATTTAAAGGTTTGTTCCCCAACCCTTTCAATATACCCTAAGTTACACTGATATGTAACAAAGACATCACCAATGATTTTAATTTTTAACAATTGAGAATCGCTATTATTCACACTGTATTCTTTTTACGTAATGATGTCATTGTAGTTGTATTTTTAACTTTGCCATATCAGTAGGATGTTTGCCCAGATACAAAACCGGGTTCAATCAACATTTGTTTCTCAAAGGTTCTGTACCAAGTAAGGAACATGTATTTTAGCTTTTTTTTTGTTACAGTTCAGTGTTTCTGCCTTTCCGTTGCTTTTCACTTATAGTTGATGTGTTTCCATCAGTTTTAAATTTGTAACCCCGGATTTTTTCTCGCCTAAATCATTGATGACTATTGAACAGCGGTATACTACTGTCGCCTTTATCTATTAACACGAAATCCTCCCAAAAAGAAATATTCCCAAACATCGTAGTAAATAACAGATATGGATAGTTTTTGTTTTAATCTTTTTTATTATGCAACTCTCTTTAAATGAAACTTCGTACAAGTTGTACAACGTCGACACAACTGTTAATCTAAATTGAATATTCTACTAGTCTATACAAGCCAAAAAAGCATCATAGACGTAAGATATTATAAAGTTTAATTGAAAAACGGTGGTTAAAGGCATCATTTACTGATACCTGTGATAGGAACTCTGAAAAGCTTCAATCGTCTCGTTGGTCATAGATTCTGGTTGTGTCAAACCCGAGGTATAAGTCTAAAAATGAGACCGTACAGCCTTCAACAACGGAAATCCTTAGTGTTTCTACAAAAATCAAACTATATTGATTAAACGTTAGTCCAAATTTAAGAATATGTTTGTTTCCCCTCTCCTCACCGTACTTTCCAAAAGTGGGTAGGTAACAGTGATGGGCACGATTACTGACAAATGTAATCGATTATTAATTGATTACATGAAGGTTTTTTTGCAATCGATTAATAATCGTATATGTCATCGATTGCAATCGACCACTTTATCAAAAGTAATTACATTACTTTTCGATTACTATCGATTAAATGCTATAAAATAATGAAGAAAGTTTAAACACAGTTATGTTGCTGAACTTATCTAGATTGGAAATTTAGAACTTTGCAAAAATTGTTTTTAAAGCATTGTTTCCAAATGTTATGTGGACAGTTGTTTTCTAGATGGAAGCTCTTACAGAGGATCCAAACTATTTGAAAATTCTTGAGTGAGTGATGATAAACATGAGAACATTCTTGAAATGACATCGACCATTGCATCAATCGCCTTTTTCTGTTGTAGGTAATTTTCTCCATAGTTTGCAAATATTGGCTGACATACTGACTCAAGTTTGATATTTTCCCTATATTTACAGGTATATTTGAATATAATTCATTACAATGCGAGAGTTTTCCCCTGAAAAAAATGTATAAATAAGAAGAATTAGTTCAGCTGATTTTAAAAGTTGTAAATCTATAATTTGTAATTACATGAATGAATTTATCCTTTTGTTAGGATAAACCTTAATTACAGGTTATAAAACTGCCAATTGAGAACAGTTCATAACCTAGGGCAATACAATGTATAAAATCTGTCACTTAATTAAGCATAATTGAAATCAAAACAAAGTCGGTGTCTAATTCATTAGAAGTCTTTGATCATCAGATTAGTAAAACCAAGAAGGTTGTTGAGATTTCTTTTTCTCTATTCAAAATCATAAACAATATACATTTTAGTGGTAATCTTTGATATGAGACGAGCTCTGACGTCCCACGGCCCCAGCTTGTCTGGCATAACAACTGTTGGACTTTAGAGCAATCTCGGAGATCGTTCAATGTTTCGTCCTTGTCATATTGAAAAAAAGACGGATTTTGCAAATGTTTTGACTTTCGTCTCCACATTAAACAACCACAGATGAAAATAAAGTAAACTTATTTCGTCGTTTTTTGCCTGATATGGACGAAAATTTTAGCAGACACTTTTCACGTTTTCATTCAGCATTTTACCTCGAATGTAAAGGCAAATACAGCAAAAAAAAACTTTTCTCAATTTCCGGTCAACTTAAAAACAAATCTGATCCGTAAATTTCGTTTCAGAAAGTAAAATCGAAATAAAAATAAACGTAACAGAAAACAAAAACGGCATACAAACATTTGAGTTGGCAGATTTTTCAGTGGGTCGTTTAAGTGAGGGGAAACACGTAATATTTTACTGCTGAGCTCTACAAAAGACAGCTGAGTCTTTTACACTCAATAGCAATGAGTCACGATAACTTAATACGAGAGATTGCATCGACGCAACATACAGCAGGTCGACCAAATAGCTTCTTCAAGAGAATAAATGACATACTGGACATGTATCAACTCCCATCATTCAACGAAATAATGAATCAATATTACAACAAAATAGAATGGAAAAACATCGTACGAACAGCTATTTAATCTCACTGGACAAATAAAAAAAAAGAAGGGTTGAGAAGAAAACTCAACACTCAAATTGCTATAAAAAAGAAACCTAAATATTGGGCAAACTCACAACGTATGGGATACAAAATCAAACTCCGTTAAAGATTTAAGAAAAGCAACAACAAACGTAAGCATGCTAACTGGAACATATATGCTTCAAACCATAAAATTCAAATTCAACCAAGCTGAGGTAGACCCTACTTGCCGCATATTTAGATCTCATTTTCGACAGATAAAAGAATATGTTGTTAGTAAAATTGGAATAAGAGTATGGACAAACAGTTTCTATAAAAAAGTGACTATCACAGAACTATTGATAGACTGTCAAAGTTTTGTTGAAAGGAAAATTCTCCCAAATGACAAAGTGTTTCTAAGAACAATTAAAATGAACTCAAGTGACTACTGCCAACTAATCCACATGAAAAGAATGAACATAACTAATGTGTAGCTAGTGTGTGGAATGATAGGGTAAATCTCTGTGTATGGTCAAGTCAGTCTTATATCTTAAATCTTAAAAGTAGTATATGAACATTATTAAACCAATTTCAATAATATTACTCAAACATCATAGTCATGATTTTAGATTTTAAAATTTAATTAATATGAACACTAACTTTCATGATTATGATTCACAAGCCAAACGAACATGTAATTTATTTCTATCTCTTGGCATTTTAAACTAACGCTAAGCCAATTAAAATAATACTACTCAAACATCGTAGTCATGCTTTTAGATTTTAAAATTGCATTTAATAAGAACATTTACTTTTTTTTATAATTATGATTCCCAAGTCAAGCGAACATGTAATTTATTTCTATCTTTTGGCATTTTAAAACTAACACTAAGCTATTTTAAAAACAATGCTAGTCAAAATAATCAAATACATATTTTTAGATTTTACAATAGTAACATTTTGAATTATTATACATTACTTTTGAAGTCCCTATATTGATGCTAAAATGTAAACTCACGACTTGTTGTATATACACTGGATATTATGGTAGAGGATACTGTTCATTCATATTTTACCATGGATTTCATGTGTTTTGATATGTACAGATACTTTTTAATATAATTTATCGGTCTCATCCGAGTGCTCTTAATCAGGAGGGAACTAAGAAAGAATAAGAAGAAGTTGCCTAAGAAAAAAAAAGCAAAAATATACTTTATTGTTCAACTTGGTTAAATGTACCTTTTACTATCTTCCTGTGTTTTCCTGTATTAATTTTTACCTAGCTGTGACCTAATTGGTTTTAAAATAAATAAGTCTACTGGGCACATGGGAAGTTGATTTCCAACTGAGGTCACTTCACAATGT